GGCCCTTTTTTCAAGGGGGGAACCCATGCAAGAGGGATCGCTTCCCGGAGCCGTTCCAATTGTTGCTCCCTGTGTCTGACATATCGTAGTTGGTCTTTCATTTGATCAACTTTCTTCCAGGTTCCCTATTTGAAGTCCCAAATATCTCCCACTGTGAAGATCCCCTTGGTGACCCATTGTGTCCACTGCGAGCATTTGGACAGATGGAAAGGCTTCCCTTGGTCATCGCAGATAAAGGGGTTGCCAAATAACGGTTGTCTCACTATCTCATGCCAACGCAGGGGGGGGGGGGATACGTTAAGGGCCCATCTCTCTCCACAATTTCACCATATTGGACCACAGTGGGTCGTTAGTTATATCCCTTCTTGTTTGGGCTTGCTCAAGGGGTAGGGTTGTTGACACATTGGACCCAGGGATCGGCCATGCCGGGTTAGTTAACCATTGCAACGGGTGGACTTTCTTTTCCACAGGGGAGGCGGGAGCAATCAGTCACTGTCCTAAACCCTCCCTGAGCCCTTAAACCTTCTACTCACCGCTACAGGATAGCTCTTAGCGCCGAGCGCCTGCTGTGCTGAGCGAGGGTTGTTCCCAACAGATGTTGTGTAGACGAAGTGCTAGAGCCCGTGGGTTGCCTCACTGTTGTGCGGTGGTGCTGTATGTCAGGCTGCAGTTTGTGTAGAGTGAGTGCTAGAGCCAGTGTGTTGCCTCACTGTTGTGCGGCGGTGATGTATACAGGGCTGCAGTTTACTATGCGTCGAGTCATTCTATCTTGTCTTGTAGCCTACTGTACATTCTATCCTGTCTTGTAGCCTACTGTACATTGTGTCCTTCAATCATGTCTTTACGATTGTATCACGGTAGTCTCGTGAGTAGCTTGTGGCCCACTCGTCTCACTGTATACAACATCCATAGGTTCCTGCCCTGACTTGAGTGTCGTTGCCTCCGAAGCCTATCTTTGAGTTGGGCCCCTCTCCCTGCTCTCCGGGTGCTGAATGTCATTGTCACTGAAGCAGTCTTGAAACCCGGTGCGTCCACAACGGTTGTTGTTGTTCAGAAGTTCCCATTGCTCTCCTGCCGGTGTCAGCAATTTGCTTGGCCAGGACTTTTGATTTGCTATACCGGGCGGGGAGAGTAGTAGTGGGAGTAAGGGGGGAGGTGTAGGGGCGAAAGAGGGGGTGTGCATGATCGGTAGACGGGAGGTGGGGAGGTGACTGGTGGTGATGTGTAGGGTGTTAGTGGAGGAAGCGGAGGGGTTTGTGGCGGTGGGGAGACCGGCAACGG